CGATGAGGAGTTGTCTGAGCTGCTGCACCCCGACCACCTAGCCTACCTCAGGGAGGTGCGAGCCCAAGGAATGCCAGCACGATTTCAAGGGAAGCGGGAAAGGGTCACGACGCGGCCACACCCGCGGGCCAGAGCAGACATGGGCCAGGTCTATGTGCAGTTGATGAAGGACATTGCCAAGCATCGGGTCCTGGTTGCTTCTGCAAGCCATGCAGCCTTGAAGCACACGGTCTCGTCGCCCTTTGAGCTCGTGCCTAAGATGCTGCCGAATCGATCCCTGTCAACGGAGGCTCGTTTGGTGCATGATCAGCGTCAAGTCAACGGGGGAACCCACAAGGATCTTCATCCTCCGGCTTCGCAACCTACACACGAGCAGATCGCGAGGCGCATCTTATGGCTGAAGGCGAGGTACCCGGGCGTCAAGGTCGTCCTGGCCAAGAAGGATGTAGCCGGGGCTTTCCGCCTGCTGTGGGTTGACCCACGGGACGTGGAGCTGTTCGCAGGGGACGTCCCTTGGAAGCCAGAGCTGATGGGCCCAGGAGGAGCGGAGGCAGGGCTTGATGGTTTGGGAGACCTCACGGTCATCTACTTGGTCTCCAGTTTCGGGTTCTCTGGCTTGCCTGGGGAATGGACGGCGTGGGGACGGGCCACGGAGGAAGTCCATCGTAGTCTCCGCCCGGTTGAAAGCCGTAGAGATGGAGAGTTGCACTTCTGCGGAAAAATCTTGGTGGACGACATGGTGCTAGTCGAACCAGTGATGGGCCTGCGGCCATGGGTGTCCAGCGAGGTCTACGAATGGGCGGTCGCCAAGTTGTTGGGCGAGAAGGCCATCAACAAGCTCAAGGATGCTGAGGAGGGCTGCTACAGCAACCAGCAGACGGTGTGGGGTTTGATCATCGATGCGGATGCTGAGAGGATGTCCTTGCCAGAAGCGCGCATCCTCAAAGGGGCCTACCTCCTCGCTCAGTCGTGCTTCAACTATGGGGAGAAGGACCTCCCGCTGAAGGAACTGCAGAGGTTTCGAGGGATTGCCAATGGGTGGAGCATTGTGGTCTCTGGACTCAAGAATGAGCTCCGCAGTGCTGATGTGTTCCTTGGTGGGATCGATGGCGGGGCGGCGGTTAAGCCGAAACTGGTCCAGCAAGAGGAGCATGCAAGGGTCGAAGAGGAGAAACAGAGCTGGGAAGCACTGTGGGAGCTGTTTGAGGACTGCCGATGGTTGTGTGCCAGGTCTGAGACGTGGGCCACGAAGTTTGGCGGGGACCTCCGGGAACTGCTACCCCCGTTAGAGCGGCTGGCACTACCAGGACAGCGAGGTGGTGGCCCAGTCTTCGTGTCCTCAGATGCTACTCCGACGGTCGTCGCGGCCATTGATTGGACCAACCGGCTCGCATGCCGAGAGGAAGTTGAGCTCCTGAAGCCATGGATCAAGCAAGTCACCGAGGCTGAGGGGCACGAGGACGGCAAGCTGGCTATTCATCTTGGAGAGATGTTGAGCTTCGTGGCCTTTGCTTGCAAGGTTGGGCACCTGTGGGAAGGCCGTGTGGTCGTGTATGCCGGGGACAACAAGGTGGTCTACTTCTGGATCACCGGACGAAAGAGCGGAGTTCGTGCAGGAAGGCTGTTGATCAGGGTGTTGAACCTGGTTGAGAAGCGCCACCGATGTCGCATTCTGGGGGGTTGGTGGAGAACCTTTCACAATGAGGATGCGGACGCGCTGACCCGCTTGGAGGAGAAGGAGGCGGTCGAGCTCATGGAGAAGAAAGGCTGGGAGAGGGTGGACATCAAGGAGAGCATCCATCATGCACTCGAGGACACAGAGCGCTTCGGGTTGTGTTTCCTCTCCTGGGCAGATCAGGAAGACAGGCACGAGCTGATGCGGCTGCGAGAGCTACGAGTCTTTAGAGCGGTTCTGCGGCAGCCCGCGGAGTTGAATGAGGTCGAGGTGATTGAGTGGACCCCGGGCCAGCGCTTCGTTAAGGACTTTGAGTACTTTTCTGGAGGGGGACAAGAACCCAGCAGGTATCGGGTGATAGCCGCGACCATCGGCCCGGACCCCAAAGGGAAGAAAGTGAAGGAGTTCGTCGCCTACCTCGATAGCGAGGTCTTTGATGTGGCGGTGCTGGAGGGACCAACGGAGGTGAAATGGGCGGGCCTGGAGCTTTGGGCAAGAAGTGTGGGTTGGAGCTGCACTCTCCAGGAGTTTCTGACGTCCGAGCTCGGGGAGGCCATGGTGAGGCGACGGATCGCCGGCTTTGTCACCCCCTTGAGAAGTCCACGGAGGACGTGGAGTTTTTGATGGTGAAGTCCATTACTCCGCCAGCGATGGGGTCCTACTTGAAGAAACTCCAAGAGGGCAACTGCATCCAGATCCAGAAGTATGAGACGGCGATCAATGCGGGCCAGGAGGTCATGTTGCCGGTCGTCGCCGCTCATGCTTGGGTTGAAGGGGAAGGAGAAAGACAAAATGTCTACTCGCTCAGCGGACCTTGCCGGTGGCCCCTCGTCGACCCGACCGAGAAGGGCATGCAGCGAATCCTGGTGCGGGATAGAGCCGCCCCGGTGGGCAAGGTGAGAAGCCTTGCCGGTGAAGAGATTTGGGTACTACAGGGCAGACGCGTTGATGAGTGGGATGACCTGGTGAAGAGGGTCGGCGAGAAAGAGGCTGAGAAGGAGGGTTGCAAGGCGACAGGACGCCGCACGGCCCTGAGCCTGATCAGCACTGCAGCGGAGCTTGCCAAGGAAAGTCAAGAAGGGAAGGCAGGGATGTGTGTCGACCCGGAGGATTACAAGTCTTTGGGCATTTTGCTGCAGTGGCTGAGGAAATGGCGGCGAGGAGATTTCGGGCGCGCCCTACCAGATCGCAAAGCCGGGGGCGCGGAGGAGCTCACCCAACGCGTGTGGTTCTGGGGCGAGGAGTTGTGGCTCGAGGCCATCGATGGGGGCGATGAAGGCCTTGGGGGCAGTGAAGACAGAAGGTGTGGAGGTCGCCGGAAGAAGGAGGTGAAACCGGTCGAGGAGACTGGGGCCAAGTTCATTGACCTCAACCCGGACTTCAACCCCGACATGGAGGTCCAGGCGCAAGTGGAGGAATGGCTTGAAGCACACCTGGTGGGAGACAAGGCCGCAAGCACACAGAAGGCCTATGCCACCGCGTGGGGCAAGTGGTGTGACTGGAGCCGACGCCAAGGCTGGCTGACTCCGTACCTCGACCACAATGGCGACCCGATCAACAACGAGAACAAGGTCCTCGGCTACCTGGGCTACCTGGGCTGGCTAGGGACTTCGGTCGCCACTATGAAGCAAGCGGTCTTCGCCATCAAGGACGCACACAAGAGAGCGGGCCACGGAGACACGACCGTCAAGATGCATCGGCTATGGATCGTCCTCAACTCGCTGGAGAAGAATTCGGTGAAGAGGCCGCGACGGCTGGGTGTCACCGTGCAGATGATCAAGTGGCTGGGCAAGCAGATGGCCTCGGGTGCGGAATCGATGGGGGAGTTGAAGGTCGACTGCAGAATGATTCATGCCGCGGTGGTCACTGCCTGGTTCTTTATGCTCCGAGCCAGAGAGTTCTCAGATTCGAGTGGGGTTGACCAGGAGATGATCGTCAGAGGCCAAGATGTCTCCCTCACGACCCGTGGCCTGGCAGATGAGAACGATCCCCAGGAGGTGACCCTACAGTTTCGCAAGACCAAGGCGGATCAAGAGGCCTTCGGGACTTGCAAGACGATGCTGAAGACGGAGGCTGAGTTCGTTTGCGTGGTCACGGCTCTACATCGTCTTCGGGAGGTGGCACCAAGGCGACTTGGGCGGGGACCGGAGAGCCATTTGCCGCTGTTTCGATGGGCATCAGGCCCGGTCATCAAGCGCCTGGAGGTGCAGAACCTGCTGCAGCGGGCCGCTCGTGCCCTCGGCCTACCTGCTGAACGGTTCCAGTCCCACTCGCTCCGGATCGGCGGGGCCTCGGCGCTCTACCAGGCGACGGGCGAGATCGAGGTGGTGAAGAGGACAGGGAGATGGACGTCCTCGGCGGTACAGCGCTACCTCCATGACTCGGGGGATGTCCTGTCAGGACTGGCACGAAAGATGGCCAATGTGGACCAGCACGTGCACTACACCTGAGGATGACGAGGCTGACACGCAGCTGGAAGCAGTGGAGAGGGGTGGTGGCGACAAGCCATAGGCGATGTGAATCGCTTGGCTGGACACCAACTCCAGTGCGAGACGGCAAAAGTCGTGCAGCGGCTATGCACTAAGTTGGAGGTTTTCACAACCGATACTTTGAGCGTGACGCTTGACGTTCGGTCGCAGCCTTTGGCCTCAGTGGCCCAGGTTTTTTGTTCCCACCTCCCACCCGGGGTGGTGGCGACAAGCCATAGGCGATGTGAATCGCTTGGCTGGACACCAACTCCAGTGCGAGACGGCAAAAGTCGTGCAGCGGCTATGCACTAAGTATATGACGCCATTGGGGGTTCTTGTTCGGTTGGTGGGGCAGGCCAAGAACAGAGACATCAGAAGCTCATTATATGGGGATGTAGATGAATGGATGAACACCTTTCGTCAGGGAACTGTGCCATGTTTGGTTCACGATCCCACACAATACCAGCCAGAAGTGGCTGGCAAGGCCCAATAATTCTTTTGAAGAGATCACCCAGCACTATGCTCCAGGCCCGGAAAAGCAAGCTGTGAGATCTGTGAGCTTGGCCCAATTCCTTTGAGAGTTTTGGTGGCAGGAGCGACGGCATTTTTGAAGGGCCCGTTGTGCGTTTCCAGCCCCACTCCCGGAATTTTGACCGTTCCTTTGAAGAACGGCTCCTTTACTGAGCCGTTTGGGCTCGAATTTTGTGGTGTCTACTCGCTTCGAGTGCGAAAAAGGAGCTACGGCAGATGGAAACCGGTGCCGGCGGGTTTCCATGGTCCACGAGCTACGCGACGTCGCTCCCGGTTGCGGGACCGTTCCGCGCGTGGTACTTGTTCCGCGCCTTGCAGTCCACGAGGTACGCGGTGCCCTTTGACGTGGTGCTGCTGTCGATGGTGTTGGCGGCCAGCTTCCGAGCCAGCTGGCAAATGGACCGGACCAGGCGCCTTAGGGCGGGTCTCGGGTGTTTTCCGGTGGCGCGTGGACACGGAGGTCATGTCGGTCTGGTGGGGTCCGCTGCTGCCCTGTGCAGCCATTTCAGGGGTTCTCTGAAAAAGGTTGCCAGTAACTAGCGATCGTGCAAATTTTGACGAGCAGTTTGCAGGCTTGCTATTTTTCAGATCCTGTTTTTGCTTCTGGTCTTTTTCTTTGAAAGCAACAAACATATTTGCTTCGAAACATACAGAAATCAATCCCAAGTGCAACATCATAGTCAACAGCCACGCTCAATGAATGTCCTTTGAACACATTTTCGAGTTGTGTTGTGAACATGGGTGGAACTGAGCAGCGAGTGCGTGTTGGAATCATCACTGAATCGCCAGCAAAATTGAGACGAGTAGCCATGACCCAGTTTGGGTTCGCCGATGACTCAGCTGACAGAAAGCAACCATGTGCGATGTGGCCGGACCTTCGCAGCTAGCTCTCTCCGGCCGGGGAGGATCTCAGCGTTGCGGCTGCTATGCTTTACTTGTTTGTGAGTGCATGAGTGCTATCAGAACCAATGGTGGGCCCCCGAAACAACTTGAGCCCAGGCCAGCTATTGACAACTTGGTTCTTGAAAAATGATGCGTCAGGCTCAAAGTGGAAGCAGTTCAGCTGCAGCTTGTCCGAACTACTTGCAATATCTTGCAATCAAGTGTCTGCATTCCCCAAGTATTCCAAAACATGCTCCCAACACAGAGTTCCCATGAGAAGCTTAGCGGAGGCGGCAGTTGAGCCTGGAGCTTGACAACGTATCCGACAGCTGAATTGGCAGGTGGAAGAGGAGCATCGATTCTGAGGGCCTAAGTTCTTTCAAGATGCGGTCAGGGTGGCGCATCATGAAGCGGCTGTCCTGGAAACTCGTGTGCATGGCCATAGACGCTGCCACGAAGGCTGTAAGTTGAGTTTTCTGGTTGTGGTGCTTTGCTTGTGAAGTTGTTTTGCGATTTTGAAGAAATTGCATGGTGGCGAGGAGTCAGCGCTGACCCCGCGGCAACACAGGCACTGCCTAAGTTGGTTTCGGCTCTAGACTCTGCTAGTGTATATTTTGGAGCAGTGATGTGCAGGATTTCGGATGCTTCGACTAACAGAGTTGATTTTCATCGAAAACCGTGCAGCTGAAAGTGCTGAGAATGGTCAGGCGCTGAGTCACCGAGCAGGTGGAAAAAGCTGAGTGGACAAACAAAAATCAATGACAAAGCCAAAGCAATTCTTGTGGATTTTGGGTCATCATCCAACTTGACTTTCGGCCATGCGAGGGGAAGGTGGCCAGGCGGAGACGATCATGCAGGGTATGAACGTGAAGATGAAGCTAGGCTTTTCACCGTGGTCGTGCGAGCTGTATCAGGAGTTTGATGGTCCATTTCATGGTGGATGTGACATGCGCTCGGGCTCCAGAAATCAGCCAGCGCAGCGGAAGTCCGACAAGCCTACCGCCCAGGCGCTTTGCGGCATCACCCAGAATTTTGGGCCAATCCAGTCACTGGTAAATCGGTGCTTGTCAAGTCAAGTGCGTGGGGGTGCAGCATGTGCCGGTGGGCACTTCGCTTCTGCCATATACAGGAAGCGTACCAAAAGCTGAAGTTGGTGAGAAAATGGCTTGCGCAATGAGGCAGTTGCTGCGTCAAAACAGTTGGCCAATCAGACCATTCAGAACATGTTCTAAAGGAAGAGGCATGTTGTGGCTGATATTGTTGACCTGGTCAGACAGTTGAGAAGATTTGATCAGGTTTGCGGTTTGCTTGTGCTTGCTTGCCTGCGCAATGTTTTTGTGAACGCGGTGGCCCAAGGCTGGGGTCAGGCTGGGGTCAGAAATGTTAGCGGGGTGCTGACGAGCTTACGGACGGGATGCCCTTTTCTTTGTTGCCATCAAGACACGCGCAAGCTTGGCCTAAGATTTTTCGCTTTGCGTTGCCTGTGGTTGCTTCAGTTACGAGGCCCCCCACGCCCCATGGTGCAAGGCGGCGGCAACCTGAAAACTTTTGCGAACCTGTTCCAATTTGAGGAAGCTCTATTTTTTTGCAACTGATGCATCTGTGCGCTTGGACTGGAACCATTGGTGAAATTAAGGACGTTATTCGAATTTAATGTGCATACATATCCCAAAAGAATGCAGGAATAGAGGTGAAGAATCATAAGCGCGCATTTTTAGAACACCGGACCAATCCATTTCAATCAAGTCACAGGGCCCGTGCGGTTCTCGGATCAGCAAGCTTTGGCAAGGATTGACAAATGTGACCGGAGCTTCAATGCGGCGCCAGCCAAGAGATGTCATCCTGACTCGGAGTTCCTCGGGGGTGGACTGATTAGCAGTCACTGAGGTCGGCTCATGCGAAATGGGTGCCTGTGTGTGTGTGTGGGTATTCACCGACGAGGATGCGTAGCAACGGAGCAGCGGCGCGCAGCAGCGTATATCACTTTGAATGAAGCGGTCGCTGTGTCTCGGGACAGGTCAAGCAAGTCAGTGGCATCGTCGTGGGAGCGGCAAGCGGTCGCTGTCAGTGAGATGATCAGAACCGGTGTTGGCCCAAGCGCAGCGCTGGTTCGGAAGTTGGCAAACGACGAGGCTGCAAGCGTGTGCTGGCTTGAAGCGTGCTGCGTGCCCCAGTGGCAGGTTTTGGTAAAGCAACCAAAAAGGTTGAAAAATTGCGCAATGAGTTGGATTGGGAGCAGCAGGAGGCAGGGGCCTGGAGTCATTAGCAGCTGTTTTCTTGAAACCATTTGCAGCCCTCGAAGTTTGAGGAAGTTTGTCGCAAAGCACACGCGGCATCCTGAGAGAGCATGAGCGACGTCGATGATAGCAGTTTCTTTGGTTCGTGACGGGGGGCTCTGTCAACAGCAAGTGTGGGATTTGCGTTGTTCAAAGTACCCGCTGGCCCCAAAGCTATGGCCACCTGACCGATCGGGGCTGCGTCGCCTCCGATCATCGACAAAGCAACCAAGAATGTGTGCTTATGGCTGCAAAGCCGGTTTGCCACCAAAGCATGAATCTAAAGAACAAGTGAAAGAGAATGGATATGTCCAACTGATTGTTGGCATTGTTTTGTGGGAGCCCCTTCATTCTAAATTGAGAGAGGCTCATGTTGGAGGCCTTGAGGAATGGATCTCATATTATGATCTCATCAGACTCCAACTGTGCAACGTCTTTTCCAAACTTCACTATATATATATATATACGATATATATATATATAAATACCTTAAACCTCCGGTGGTTGCTTTTCTCAGCCTCTTAGCAGAGAGGCTCAAATGTTAGCCTCTCCATTCAAGAGTTGCCGCTTAGAACAAAAAACTGCCTCTCGTGCTTTTCTGGTAGAAGGGAATCTTGTCATTTGTAATGTTTTTGGTGGTCTTCCGCTGCTGCTGCCGACAGCTACCAACATGATATCAACATTATAAAAGATTTTCGGTCAAGCCCAAGCAAACAGAGTTTCATCATGCTTGCTAGCAACTGCGTCCAAGCCCAAACCAGCCGTTTGAGTTTCATCATCAGGCAAGACGTATATAACTCTCCGAGGTGTTTGGCGCTTGGAGGTCTTTCAAGGCAGAGTTCATAGGAGTAGGCAGTTGCTGGATTTGCAACCTGAGCGCGTGCAACCGGCAGAAAACAAAGCTAACATGTTTAGCCAGGAAATGTTCAGACCAAAACACTGACTAGAGGTGAGTATCAATACCTATAGAAACGAACAGCCCCACCTGCGGTTGTTGCAGCTCTGACATCGGGGTTGCATCGTCTCCATCAAGTTTGTCCACATCTTTCTCTTCTTGCACTAACGTCAAACCAGCCATCAGTGTCGAACTCGAAAAGACACGGGATTGAAGCTGATACGCCATTTCCCCTTTCGATTAGAGACGAGCCTGAAAGCGGCAACCTGTCGACTTAATTGAACATTATGCCAAAAATTCATAACCTGGGAATTCCGCCTCTTACCCGGGAAGTTCCGCCTCTTACCCGGGAAGTTCCGCCTCTCGTTGTTTCACGTGCTTCATGTTTTTGCATATGTTGCATGTTTTTCATGTGCTTTAATGCTTGTTTGCGTGTATTTTGTGTTTTTCATCTGTTTCATGTGTTATCTTTTTCATGTGGCTCTCCTGTGCTTTCATGTTTTTAATGTGGCTTTCATATGTTTCATGTTTTTCATGTATTTCAGGTTTTTCATGTGGTTTTCATGTGTTGCATGTTTTCATGTGTGTTTATCAAATTGCGCGATATCATGTTCATATTTGCAATTTTCCTTGCAAAAAAGACCCCCACAAGTCCGGTTCGACCTGCCTGAAATGCAGGTTTTGAAGGCGAAAGTCGGACTTGTGGGGGTCATTTTTCGCAGGCCAATCCAAGTGGACAATTAGCAGTTCAATGCAGTTCATATATATATATATCTATATATAGTTTCATGTTGTGTGCGGTCAATTTTCCACAGTGAGTTATCATGCCTTCATGTGTTTCACGGTTTATCATGCTTGAACCTTTTGAATGCATATAACTTATGTGTTGGTTCATGGTTCGAGGTTTGTGGTGTTTTTCCTATATGTTAAGTGTATAAGTTTCATTGTTATCACGGTTATCATAATGTCATATGTTCTATCAACATAACTGGGGAGAAATCTATGTAACACAAGAATCGCCTCTTGCAAAAAAATTGCCTCTCAGTTCCTAGAGGCGCCTTCTAGGTTGGAGGCGCAAAAAGTGCAGCCCTAGGAAGATTCAGGTACACATGTTTTCATCTTCTTAGAGTCCCAGTTCTTTATAGACATGCTTGGAAGATGTTGTGTTTGCTCTCAGTGGGGTTCCAACACTGATTCTTCGGGGTCGTCCCGAAACCGGCGAAGCCATCCCGAAACATCGGGTCCGGACTGCGGTCGAAGAACGGGTCGTTATCCTTCAGACTTTCCAGGCACTTCTACCGGGGCGGCACCGAGCAGGTGGGCCTCGGTGAAGACGCCTTCGGTGGACGAAGTAGAAGACGTGGGGAATCGGGAATAGTTTTTGTCCTAGCTGGAGGTGCTTTTCACACGTGAACCTTAGGTGAACCTCCGAAGCGTCGGGAATGAAGATGTGTGCAGCGCATGTTCCGACCAAAACTCCGAGGGTTTTTTGGGTTCCTTTGCAAGTAAGACTATCGTGTCCATAATTCCGTTTATGTTTCCAGAGGACGCAGAGATACGCAGAGGGCGTTGACCTTTAAGGCATGACCCGATTTTCCAATCATCCCTTCCTTTTTGAACTGATCTTTGGCCGAACTGCAAAGTGGGGAAAGAACCCTTGGCTGTTCCAGGCTCACTACTGGGGGAGGAACTTGAGATTCTTCATCGGTGGTGCCGTTCTGCCTTCATCTTTCTCACGAGGTTTCCTTTGGCCACCCAACCTTTTTTGGGGGGCCTAAGAAGTTTTGGAGTGGTGGGTGAGAGGTGGGGGTTGGTGTGTGGCAGTGGCGGCATGGTTTTGGCCGTTGCGAGCCAAACTGCAATCCAACTCGCCACATGCTCCACAGGAGTTCGAGCAACTCACCACGAAGATGTCCATGCCTTTGACGCTCTACGCGCCCATGTTGGGGAACCCTAGACCTTTTCTCGACCGAGACAGGGTTCGAGACAGTTTCTCCGAGTTGGTTCGATCATGTTGGATCTTCCCTTGGTCCCCATCCGGCTCCGGAAGCGCCCCCAAACGGCTTCCGGAAGCAGGTCTCCGAGCTCCAAAGCTGGGTCGGTGCAGGGGCCGACGTCTCCGGCTCCCGGGCGGTCGGCCGACCCAATGGGGACCGCCGAGGCGCGATGGGGACCTCAATGACGCCATGGTGGGGCTCTTCAGCGACTGGCGCGCCGGGCCAGCTCAGGGTTTTCGGGCGCCAGGTGGTGCTTTTTCTGGGGTGCGGCACGGGGGGGTGGGGAAGGCCTGGTGCTTGGTTTGTTGGGAGCAGCTACCTGCTTGAAGCTAACGATAGCTGATATAGCCTATATAGCTATATCATCACATATATCATGGCCAGGCTTTGTGGATGCATGACATGTCGCATAAAAATTGATGCATGTACAGTGGTTTCAGAATAGATGGCACAAACCCACAGATGTCTTTCATATGGGGGTCCATATAAACCACCTTTGGGGGATTGCACCATCTACTCTGAAACCACTGTAATTGTAAAGTAAGGTATGAACAAATCAAAGCCAACTCTTCTGGTCACGTGGCCGCCAACCCTGGAGCCAACCCCCGGACCGTATCTTCTATTCGCGCGTGCGAGCGAATAGAAACGTTGCTCAGGACCTGAATGTGCCCTGCAGCTCACATGTGAGCTTGTCCGAAGGCCCAGGCATTAGGGGATTCTGTGACCCTTCTGAACATCGGTGAGTCATTTTCATATATAATCGAATACATTGGAAGAATTGAATCGGAAGCTGCTTACACATGCTGATAGGCGTCGCAGACTTCAGACACCGGCCCAAATTCAACCCTACAGTATACCCAGACTGCGCCACTGGAGGGAACAAAAGACGGAGTCCATACGGAGCGTCCGGACACGACTGCGTGGCTGAGGCTGGGCTTCTGCTTGGATCTCGCCGAGCTGATCCGGCACCGGAGGTGCCGAGCCGAAGAGGGAGAGCTCGGTTTTTTGGGGTGAGTGGAAGATGTTTCCAACCTGCCGGGGTGATGGGGTGATGTTCCACATGAGGATCATAAGTCGCGATGTCGCAAGATATCCAACGCATGAGGCTGATGGTCCTGGTTTGGGTGGTTGGAAGGTCTTGGGCGGGAGGATGTTGGTGCAAAGATGGGAGTGGAAGATGTCTTTGCAAGGAAAGAATAGGAAGAACCGGTGCTTTCCACCCTTGCCTCCCATCACAGGCTCCGCCGAAGGCTTCCGGAGCCACGTGCCGGGCGGGTCGTTTCTGCCGACCACGCGGCCCGAGAGTCGAAACACACACGTTCCCCGAGCAGAACGAGCTGGCTCGTCCACCCGATGACCAGCTGAGCTGAGCTCGTTGCTTCGGTCCTCCGCGGTTTTGGTGTTGAACGGGTGGCTGGGGCGTTGGTGTCCGCGGGCCTTTGTGGTCCACCCCTTCGGGGCCCGAAGATCTCAGGTGGACGGTCTTCAATCCGATCAACAACGCCCACAACATCTTGGTGAATATCCTGCCGCTCGACGAGCAGGCGCCACACCGACCTAGAGAACCGGCCCCGGGGGCCTTGAGCGCGATGACCACGGCCTTGCGTTTTTGGTTCTGGTCAATTTGGCTCTGGGGGTTAGAGGGGTATATACTGCTACAGTCGGCAGCTTTGTAAGCTTTGCAAGTGGGTAAACAGACTGATGGACTCTGCACTCTGACTACTATAGCGATCTCTATCTGACCACGACCTCGCAGTGCTTGGATATTTGCTGCCAAAGTACAGTTTTGGCTCCGCCCTGGGTTGAGATTCATGATGGGATTCATGGGGTGCCTACCGTGCAGGCGCGTGGCGAGCAGCAGTTTATTCAGACACGGAAGCATGAGCCGGGGCTCTCGGAGGCCGTCATCGGAGAAGGATGGTGTGAATGTGCTGCTCTTCAGGGGCTGACGGGTTGATTTTGTTCCAGGCCTTTTGGAACTTGTTGTGATCAGTGGCCAGTGGGTGACTCTTCGGGTGATAATGGATACTCGGACTTGTTTCTTTTCTATTTTTGTTGCGCCCACAGAATGGCTCTTGGTGCCAGAACCCCCCAACTTCATCGAACTCATCCACCACTTGGAGCCCAAAAGCTCCTTCCTCCAGGTACGGCGGCCGGAGGGGCTCGGCACCCGATCGCCGCAGGCGCGCACGTGCGAACGTGGAACGTGGAACGCCGGAACTCGGTGCCGGCGGAGGAAGGTGTCACGCGAAGGTCCACCGTAGACTTGGAGTAGGTGTTGGTCCAGCAAGCCAATATAGCCCAGCAGCGATTTTGGGGAGTTGACCGTGGGCCGGCCATGTTTGTACATTTCAGAGGAAGCCACATGCAGCCACATTCCTGTGATTGAACCTTCCTTTTTCTTGCGCGCTGCTCCTCTTCCTCCCATCCTCGTCAAGGGACCCCGCCCGGTTCCACATCCGGGGACCCGTGTCCTGCCGTGTCCTGCCGCTCGCTCGTCCGGGCTCAGGGCCTACAAGGCACCCCACCGGCCCATGCGCATCACGCTCGAGCAGGAGGCGACACCGTCGTACGGAGCGCCGATTCGGAGGGAAGAAGCGGTGGACAGTGCCCACGAGAAGCCGACAGATTTGATCTGCCGCCAGAACCATGCGTATCCTCATCACCTGTCCTACCTGCTTTGATACATATATATATATAATTATGATAGTGTTTGTAAAGTTTCAGAGGGTGACCCCCCAACTAGGTGTTGGTCTAATTTTACTTTCCAGGAGTTTGTGGGGGGTCTCCCTGTAAAATACAAACTCATATGATTCATATGTAAACTCCAGAGAATGGGCATAAATTTGCATCTTTGCATAAGCCACGACATGTCTTCGAACATTGTGGCCCAGCAGCACTTGTCTTTCGTGCAGTGTAGATCAGTGTAGTATATCAGTGTAATATCAATATGGGTTCAAGGATATTCAAGGTCTCCATTTTGATCTTAAAAAATGCATCAAAGCAACCAGTGAAGGGTCTCTTTGTTCAGCCTGGGGGACTCGTCCGGGCTGTTGATGTGAAGCGAGCAAATCCGATGACAACAGCTGGGTGACCGTGATGGATGTGGTGATTTCTGGCGTTGGCTGAAGGATAGCTGTGCGGTTCGCACTGCAAGACTCTCAAACAAAAGTTGCGATGTTGTTTTGGGTTTGATGTTGCAATCGTGTGCATGGTGGGTTGGACAGCTGGATAAACTGATTTCCGAACACTCTTCGTTCCAACGGTCGTACGACGTGGCGTCCCGGTTTCATCTCTCCAACCACACCATGGCATTGCAGTCAGCTGGTCGGTCAGTGCTTGCCCCCGCCATTCGGCACGTGAGACTCAGCCATGCGACTGGTCAGCACCTCTGCGCCCATCCCACAGGCTCCAGATGCTTGGCGCTGCTGCCATGCTTGGGATTTCCCGCCGGGGGTCTTCCCCCTTCCACCTGCGGGCGCGCTTTGTTGGGCCTCAGCAATCAACATTGGGTTCGGTGATCCTGCTTGAGTCAATTGGAAATCCAGACCCAAGTCGGCAAGTCTCCTTCATTCCTCTTTTTTGGGGGGTGCCACGTGCCAGACAGAGAGCTGAACCACTAGTCTTTTTGCTCTAACCATAAGACTCACCAGGCCAGTTCACACAAAAGAAGACACACCAGGTGACCACAGGTGAGTGCAGGGCAAGGAGTCCATTTCACAGAAGCACTTGCCACTTTCCAGGTTGCCCAGATGTCACCCAATGTCATCCACCTGCGGAATGTCTGCACACCCTGCGGAACGTCTGCAGAAGCCATGGCAGGTGGATCTCCTTGGACCTCAATGCGGATTGCTATCCCACGGCCACTCAGCGAGATGCTCTTCGCCGTCGTCGTCGTCGTCGCGGGACCTCCCTTCATCGGGATCTCTTGGACCCCCAACGATGAAGTCACCCCACCCCAATGATCCTCCCCCAGTCGCGTCCCGTCCGGTCCCCAGGAGTGGTGCCGTGGCTTCGTCTCCTCGCTCGCCGACACCATCCAGGCGTTCGGTGCGGTGGACGGTTCGGTGGACGGTTCGGTGGGCGGAGGTGCAGGGGGAGCCTGGGCGGAACCGTGGTCGTGGTCGGAGCAACTGGCCTAGAAGGTCTAGATAGTGAGATTCTCTTTGGGAGGACCCCCCAAATCTGCACATCTTCAGCATTTGCTTTATTTCCTGATCATATTTCTGAGGTCCGGGGATGCCTCTGAAGACATGGGTTCATGGGTTCATGGGCTTGGGAGCTTCAGGAGTCTTGGCGATCTGTTGCCTTGGACAGCCGAGACCTAGTGATGCACGGCCTGGCCTTGCAGGAAAAAACTGCGACAGGAACTTCCAGACACCATCTGTTTGAAACAGGGCATGAACGAGGTTCCCATCTGTTTGCATCACTGGTGATGTTCCTCACCTCGTGATGATTTTCACACCTTCAGACTCAGACCGTTTGACACCACTCACCACTCCCGCACGGAGGATCTCAAGTCCCGTCCGATGCTGGCCGTCTTGCACGCCGATTGGTCACATAGCCGCTGACTCAGAGGGGGGACCCGCTGCAGGCCGTCTTGCGGGGGCGCAAAAAAGCGCGGCGGCGCCGACCGTGGTCGGGTGCGACGAAACAGACGTAGGGAGGACTGGCAGATTCTGCTGTATGGATATTTTACCGTTTCACTAGCCACTTGGAGCATCTTGGAGACAAGGATGTGGCTGGTGTGACGCGTTTCAAAGAACTGCATTGAAGACTGCCTGTTGGGCATTCCTGCCAGAATGGTTTTCTTTCTGGGCAAACTGTTGAACGGTTGAACTGAAGAAGACATCCACTACCTGGACCTGGACGATTGGAGGACACTCTCACTTGTGCCAACTATATATATATATACACACTGCTTTTTGGAGCAGAAAACACCAAGCGCACCTGCTGCTTTATACTACTTCAGCTTATTATGTACTTCACCTATCTTCACCTAGAAGGGTCAATTTCCCGGATGTTTCAGTTGGTTTTCTCTTTCTTTCTTGGCTCAGGTCTCAAGTCAGGCGGAGAATCGAGGGGGCGGGAGGGCGCCGTCTCGATCTCTTCGTCCGGGTTCACGGGAGGGAGACGGTTTGGACATCGCGGGGGAAGCGTCCAGAAGTGGAAGTGGGATTGTCCAGATTTGTTCTGGGAGGGAACACGACATCTCGAGAGTGATTTTCAAGATATGTTTCTTTTTTGGTTTGGTGGACTTGTGTCAACATTCCAGGCTCAAGCTGAGCGAACAATGAAAGAAGCTTCGCAGTGCACCCAGCATGAAGGGGTGGGCTTCTTGCTCACCGATGTCAGGCCTAGTTTAAAGCCTGCAGAGCTTCCAGATGAAGAGCTTCCCATGTACAAGGCCTTCTTGTCCTCGGATGAGGATGAGCAAGTCCTAAATCATTCATTGGTCCAGCTTTGTGACCAGCTTCCCTTCCGCGACTCCTTCGAGTCTCGTACGGTCTATGACCTGGAAGACCCGGCGGAGCGTCCGAATGGGCTGACGCATGAGACCTACGTGGGCTACCTGGAGCAGACCCTGGAGGCCTTGCAGCACCGCCCCGGGGCAAGGAGCAAGCTCCTCCGACTGGTCCGCAAGCATCGAGGCGACGGCAGCGCGCGCCGCGTCCGGGAGCTGCGAGACTGGCTCTTGGGGAGACTGGGGTACCACGAGGACACCGTAGCGCCGTAGCAGTGAGGCAGTGAGGAAGCGCCGACCTCGGCAGCTCCTGAAGCCGAAACAGAAGCTAGTGGCACTGGCAATGCCAGCTTGCTTAGCTATATGGTGGATGGCCTGAAATGAAGGCCACAACTTTTTTAGTCCATTTTTGTTTCAGGCACCAGACGACGAGACAATGTTGAGTCACGTTGCGAAGGTGCCGTTTGTGCTTGAATCAGATTCCCTTGCTATGTGAAGGTAGGCAAGATGCAGCATCCTGCCCCAGAGAACTACTCCCGAGAGAAAGGGCGTGGAAGGGCGTGGACACGTCGGACGGTGGGTCCCCCCGTCCCTTCGCCGCAGCGGACGTTCGGACTCTCCCCACCCGACCCCCACCGGTCCCCGCGGGAGCGGAAGGCCCCGGCTCGGAGCCACCGTGAGCGGCGAGTTCGGGCGAGTGATGGGAAGCGAAGAGGGCGAGAGGATGGCGAGTTCGGGTTCTTAGAGAGGTTCTCCACCTGAAGCGGCTGGTTACTAGCGCCCAAGTTTGGAGAGATCCGGACACCGCTCTCCTCTCTCAATGTAGCTGAAACGCCCCGGGGCCCAAGTAGCTCGTGGCGCCTGGGCAAAAGGCCACACAGCTGGGTGCTGTGAGTGCCGTGACTGCGCGTCACGGTTCAAAAAGAGCGTGGCGATGGGCATTGCGAATGGGATTGATGTGGATTCCATCACAGCCTGTCACTCTGAAAAGGGTTCCTGACATGCGATTCGTGACAGCAGGCGATTCGTGACAGCAGGCACGTGGAGTTTTTTCAGTCTCTTCCGACCACCAGCTGTTTTCTCATATTCTCTAGGGCAGGGACTGGAGTCGTACCTTCGAGAAGGTACGGTGAGGACGGAGACCCTGAGACATGTGGGTGCCAGGAGGCTCCAGGTACGACTGGATCCCTTTTTCTGGTGCAGCTCACCCTCCTCCAACCTCGATTGACCCGCGAGAGACTTTGTTTCACAGTGTTCCCTCTTGTTCCCTCAGAACGGTCGGGGAGTAGCTTCTGGCCTTTGAAGCGCCGAAACGCGCCTTTCGATCGCGTTTGTTTTTGGGTGGTTGGAGCAGAACCAACACTGAGTGTAGCGATGTCTCAGACACAAGAGAGTCCCCAACCCTGAGTTGTCCAGATTCATTTAATTAATATGAAAGAGATTCCTGATTCCCAGTCCCTGGCGACCTCGGTGGCCGGTCCGATCGATCTGCGTTGGGAGATCGATCGGAGCATGGCACGACCAGGGTCTTTTCACCAAGCTGCGGTCCCCCACCCGACTAGGAGCGTCCGATACTAGGGGCTCCTGGCATCGCTACTAGGAACAAAAAGCTACTAGGGCTCCTGGCCTTACTACTAGGAGCAAGGACGCTACTAGGGGGCACTGCCCAGGTCACCCGCGGCGAAGACGAGAAGGTCTGCTGCGCCGAGGCTTCGCGTTCGGCCGAAGCGAGGCGATAGCGCGAGGCCTTTCGGTCCGCACCAGGCACCAGGTGCAGCCCCAAAGCCACGAAGATGGGCCACAAGTTTGTTGGGGGACACCTCGTGGGGTGGAGGGCATGGTATGAAGTGGCTGAGGGCATGTCCTCCAGTGTTTTTTGGGGCCTGCTTAGGTGTGGGGAGGCTCGTTTTGGTGCTCCAAAAAGAGATGGATGATTCCACTTTTGAAATGGTATGGATGCATCAAGGCCGAATTATTGAATGGCATTTGTTCAAGCTTTGGTAAGATCCGTGCTGGTGACTTGAACATACATCTTTGGCCCTCCCTCATGCGGCCCCACAAAAGTATTGAAGCACTCTGACATTGGTTTTCAGTTAGCTCAATTCCCAGGTCGAAAATGGTGAGGGAACGGCATGGTGAGAAAGTCAGTCCACTTGAAAGGTTGAACAAGCTGTTTGTGCGTGACTGCAGAGCGCAACGGTAGTGAACGAGCGGCGCGACTCAGCTGCAAAACCAGGGTTTCGGGGGTGGAAGCAAGAAGAACCATGAATCAAACCGTGGAAAAAGTAGGGTGACAGCTTGCGGAAAGGTTCAGCAGGTACATGGTTGAGCGTCCTCAACCACTTCCCTTCCAGTGACCCAGCTTCGTTGGATCAGGTTAGTCACTGGAAGCCTGATCCCCCTGCTGGACAAAAACCACTGAAGCGGAACCCTTGGGGACAGGGGTTGACACACACACACACACGGTGCCGCTTTGCGGCGCTCGCGCGGAGGACCTGAATAGATACCTAAAAAGCCTTAGAAACAAACGAAAGAAAGACAGAAAGAGCAGCGCTAAGAGGGCAAGAGAGAAAGATAGGGGTAGAGAAAAGGGTGAATACTTAGCCCTTGACTGGGGTAGGGAAACGAGCCTCAAGAACAACCTAAAAAGCCTGAGAGAAAGCCCAAGAAACGACCAAAAGCGTAAGAAAGAAGGGGGGGGCAGAGAGGGGATGTATGTAGCATGTGTGTGTCCGTGTGTGTGTATGACTACTTAGCACTCTAGAGTTACTGACTACTTAGCAGAAGCGAATTAAGTGCAATAGTTAGGGAACGGGACTTTAGTCTTGGACCGCCCGGGCAGAGAAGACTAGAACAGGGACAACAAAGGGAAAGGCACCGACACACAAGTGTGTCGAGTACCATTTCCCTGTGTTACCCTAATTAGGTAGGGAGTAGAACTCGGCGGGGGGGGGGTTGGGAAAACATGCCTGACCTCAAGTGGACATGAATTCCGTTTTTTAGCCCGGCGGCTGTGGTATCAGTAAGTAAGTCTTTCCGTACAAGCCCGGCGGCTGTTGAACCAGTTAATCCAGTGGTGAAAAGAAGTCGGTTAAGAGAATCCAACGAGTGGTGGAAACGAAAAGGCTGTTAGCGAAATTCCTGCATGGCTTCGGCGCCCCTGTCACGGGGATCACACCCAGCACCCAAGTGGGACGGCTGAGCGGTTCACACTCTGACATTGGTTTTCAGTTAGCTCAATTCCCAGGTCGAAAATGGTGAGGGAACGGCATGGTGAGAAAGTCAGTCCACTTGAAAGGTTGAACAAGCTGTTTGTGCGTGACTGCAGAGCGCAACGGTAGTGAACGAGCGGCGAGACTCAGCTGCAAAGCCAGGGTTTCGGGGGTGGAAGCAAGAAGAACCATGAATCAAACCGTGGAAAAGTAGGGTGACAGCTTGCGGAAAGGTTCAGCAGGTACATGGTTGAGCGTCTTCAAACACTTCCCTTCCAGTGACCCAGCTTCGTTGGATCAGGTTAGTCACTGGAAGCCTGATCCCCCTGCTGGACAAAAACCACTGAAGCGGAACCCTTGGGGACAGGGATTGACACACACACACACAAGGCACCTTTAGGCACCTTTCACGTCCTGTCCAGGTTATGGTGAAGCTTAGCCTCCATATCTCGACCTCCGCTCCGGAAGACTTGTAGCATATTTAGATCATTTTGGGATGCCGCACCACGGGCTCACATCGCCCCACCGCGGGCTTTTGCTTCGCCGCAGGGGGTTGCCGCAGCCATGGGGGATGACGGCCGAGAGAACCAGCGGTTCAGGAAGTGGCGCCGTTTGACCAAAACAAGACCCCGCGTGGCGCAGCTTGAAGCGCGGCAGGATTTGAAGCCGTTCCTGGGCTGGACAAAAAAGGATGGACATACCACGAGGAGAGTGTCACTTCCCCCGGCATTTTCTTTGTGGTCCTCCAAAGATGGGTTCCATCAACGATACATTTTGTGGGGTCATTGGCATGAAAGTTGGTCAGGTAGTTGCCAGGGAAGCCTTCTGGCTTCCCAATGAAAGATTCTTCCGAATCCTATCCCTACATGTCCAAAGACCCGGCAAAACCTGGTTCTTTACCTCATTGAGTCGTGTTTGTATCATCAACTTCAGCAAAATGAGGAGGTCTTTGACTGACCTGCATTGTAATATGCTGTTCCCTTTACATGAAGGATGATATAATCTCACTTTTTTCCTTCCTATCTCCATTTTCCCTCCGGAGAGGCAACATATGTCGACTGCAGCGTCTCATGGGTCTCAGGCAGATGCGTGTGAAGCAGGTCGAAGCCTTCCTGGAAGCCGTCCAATCCGATCGCTCCTTCGATGAATACATCCAATACTTGCGCCAGAAGCACTTTCCGGAAGAGCATGTGGTGGATTTGGAGGAGTATGTTGCAAGTCACTTTGTGTGGAGTCTGGAACTTTCCGTTTGCTTGGGTTCTTGGAGCTCACAAATCAATTTAGTTTCTGACACACATTCCCACAAAGAGGATCCCTGGGCCGTCCATTTGCTCAGTTTTCAGGCCATTGACGAACATATTGTCCCTGATCAGACGAAGATGGTGTTTGATTTGACCGTGAGGTGAGATGGATCCCTGCAATGAGGATTTGACTGCCAGCCGCCCTAAGGAGGAGGTGTTTGTTCTGAGCCTGTGACCGGGCTTCTGTTCTCCTCACCAAGCATCCAAACCCTTGTCTATCAAGACTCCAGAAGTCCTTAGGGGAAGCAGGATTTCTCAGTTCAAGACCTGCATCTATATCTAAAATTAGCCTGCAAAGTAGCACTAGCATTCCTTTTTTGTGTGTTTTCCAGATGCCAGAAACCCGGGTTTGGCTGCAAAAGCCTCGTTTTTTCTGCTCCGAGCTGATCATCTTCTTAACTTTTCAAGGAGGGTGACATACACTTGGCGACCCGGGAAGGCTCCTGAGCCCACTTGCCCGAACACATCATAGAATGCACGATCACTGGGACCTGGTTGCATGTCTTTCACTCTCTGCCAATCTTTCGGGGCACCTGGATGGAGGATGGGTTTAGACAACCCTCCCCATTCATGGGGCCCTGGAATTCGACCGGGTGGGTGTTGCCCACCGACCCTGGGTGTTTTGAGCTGCTGGTTATTCCGGTTCTTCTATTAACACTAGTGGAGCAGGACAGAACTCAACCGACCAGCGCAGAAAAGGGACTTGGTGCAGCCGGTGGGCTTTGGCCTCAACTCCCAACTCCCCTTGGACTGCTTTGGAAAGTGCTGCAAGTGCAGCAGATACAAAGAAGAGGTTCTGGAAGAGGTCTTGAGGCCACCCGGTGGTGTGTTAATTGGTGCAAACGCACCAATGTTCAAGGCTTTTCCGGCTGTTTATCCGTGAGTTTACACCATCGATGCCTTTGCTGTTCCGTGACACTGTGATCACGCTAATTTGACAACCCTTGATCCGTTGACTTGCATCCTTCTCGCTCCACCAGCTTGCAGGCGCGGGTTAGACGCTGGCGCAGAGTCGACGCAGGTTTCACGCTGGTCTTGACGTGTTCTGTCTGCACGGAGCGAGCCGAATGGGGTCCTCTCAGCACCACGGGGTTAGCCCCTCTCTGAAGTGGTTCGAGGTACGACCCCTTCCCATGGCCACCGGTGGCCACCCGGTTCCTGGATGGTTGGCCACCGTTGGCCACCGGTTCAAACGAGCGCGTTCCCGATAGTGGTGGTTAGCGCCTGCCGGGAGCTTCTTGTGAAGCTCCTAGCTGTGTGTGGCTTATATGAACTGGGGATTTGGATGGGAACCAATCAACTCAACAAAGATGAATCAAAGTGTGTGCAACTGGTGCTGGTTTTCGTCTTTGCCCCACTCACAGCTGAAGTGAAAGACAAGAGCTTCCCCCATTTCGTGCATTCTTGTAGGCCAACACAGTGAATTCATTGGTTCTGCTGTTGGGATACTTTCTTGCAACAGACAAACGTACCATGACAGCGGCCTGCTGCGATGTGAATCAAGTTTCAGGCACAGCACCGGCCCCACAGAGGACCACGTGCGCGCGCGCGCGCGCGTGAGAGGGTTGTGGCAGGAGCGGTTCTCAATTTTTGCAGGTCAGTTAGGGTTTTGGAATTCTGGTGGACATGGCGTAGGCTTTTGCCAGCTCATGCTTTGCGCTTGTTGGACACGCGCAATGGAGAAATGATGAGAAATGTGTTGAATTTGCTTCAGGCTGCCATTTCTTGATGTTCTTTGTTTGGCCAAGCCTCAATGAATCTTCGGCTTCTCCCACTGCTTGCAGCTTTGGCTGCAGAGCACTCGATTCAGTGCGTAACTCTCTTTGCCGACAGGAGCGTATCGCCGCTGGATAAAGTTCCTCCTTTCCACAGCGACTTGGATGATTTTGTGAGGGCGCGCTTCCAAATTTCTTGAGTCTCTACAATCTATTCTTTGGCACTCTAAAGCTGCACGACACCAGAGGTTTCTTCTCTTTTGCAATAGTGGTTTCTGGACTAATGTAAGCTGAATGGACAACTTGGCTTGCTCCTTGCTTCGTAAGCGCCACAATGTCCGACTTTTTTTTTGCACATGACTCAGCTGCTGTTCAAGCAGGTGACCTTCAAGTAGATTTTAGTGTGTGCACCAGACGCGGTCCCAGACATCACCATGTTGGCGTTCTCAACCTTGATGACCTTGGCGCTGGTCCGGGCAAGTCCCCCAGGTGGTGGGCTGGCCTGTGAGGCCTGCGAGGGCGAGGTCACCGGGTTCTTGCAGACCCATCAGACCCAGTATGGACTTTGATGAAGCCCAATCCGAAGTTGTTTGAGTGGAAGTCTGTGGGCTACTATGCCGTGCCATCAGTGGCCGCGCAGTTGAAGAACTGCGACCCAACCACCTTTTTGTGCAACGAAACGCAGAAGCAGCAGTACATGAAGAATAATGCCAGCTTGACTGAGAATGATTGGCGCAAGATCATGGTTGGTTACTTGCAGGTTCCTTTGAGCTATGATCACACCAAGAAGTCTTCATTGATCAATCTAGATCTTCGCGTTTCTGTTTGGATTGGCTTGAAAGGACCAGATGCTCCCCTGGTGCTGCAACACCAGGGGGGGCCTCGAACCGCTGATGCTGGACCCGGCCAGGCGCAGTGGTCCTACCTCAAGTATCCTGTGGGCACGGTTCAGCTGGAGAAGGAATACAATATTCTTGGCATCCAGCAAAGAGGCATGTCCGATGACAGCAACTTGGGGCATTGGCCGGAGCCGATTGTCTTGAAGACCTTTGAAGGAGTATGTGGTAAACGGTTAGAACCTCCGGTGGTCAAAGAGAAGTCATACAACTTGAGGGACTTCACCACTTGTCCATGCAACCTTCCTGAAGGTGACCGTGAAGCTCCTGAGCCCTTTCCAGATCCGGAGGATGAGTCGCCTTTGCTGCGAGCCGGAACCAGAACTGTTACAAGGCGGACTATTGGAAGATGAGCCATGGAAACGAGAGTTTCAACTACCTGGACTATGTGGGAACCCAGACTTTGGCCATGGACATTGATCGCTTGCGTCAGGCCTTGGGCGCTGAGAAGCTGAGTTTCATGGGCCTCAGTTACGGCACGGCAGTGTCAGTAGTTTATGCCACAGCCTACCCAGAGCATGTTGGGAAGGTCGTGCTCAACGGAGTCGTAACACCTGGCCCTATGAAAGAGGACTACTACTCGAGCCAAGTGATCTCATCGCAGCAGGCCATGGCAAAGTATCTGCAGATTTGCAATGATGAGGGGGAGAAGCAGCATGTGCCAGATGACATGCTTACGAGATGTGCTTTGCCAACCACCGATCCGGAGCTCTTTTTCGCAGATCTGGTGGAGAAGATCCGAAGGAATGCCTCCTCGCCATCGTCGATGTATTCCAGAAGCACCCGCACAGGCAAGGCCTTCACTCTCACGCCCCCGATGCTTTATCAATACATGAACACCGATATAACGCTGCCATCAGCCTCTCCGTGGACCAAAACCCTCGAACTCTTGAACATGCTGGGTGGCCACAATGAATCTGCTGTGACCAGTGCCACAGAAAGCATTTTTGATCAAGTGTGCACGAACGACTGGAAGACCTATGGATACTGCTTCGACTACATGGACTATGTCCACAGCGCACACTCGGATGGCGGGCTCACCGAGAATGCGGTCCGTGGCCTGGACTATGCAGGCGTCTACTCTGCCAAGGGTGGCAAGGGCGTTTTCAACGCCTTGAAGGACCGCTACGGTGCTTCACCGCTCTTCTTCGGGAACATGAAGGCAGGCTATGGGCTGATGTCCTGGGCTCCCTTGCCCACGCCGGCGCAGCTGGGGTCCCGGCCGGGCATCCGGATGCTTGTGGTCAACGACCTGTTTGATCGTTCCACACCTTATTCCAGTGCAAAGCAGATGCGCGAGGTGTTTCCCAGTGCTCATCTCATGACATGGCAAGGAACAGGTCATATGGTCTCTTACGCCGCAGACAGCTACGACCCAGAGGGTGTCGAGAGCTGCGTGGAAAGGATCAATGATTTCATCTTGAATGACGTGATGCCCCCTGAGGGGTTCACATGCCACCAGACTCGCAAATTCACATGGTGAACTGGTCAGTGCAGTTTCAGCTTAGCTTAGCTAAAGGCAGTCTCGAGGCTCGAGGCAAACTACAGTAGAAGGTTACGATTTTCAAGCGCCACGCAACGCCACTTAAAAGAGTAGCGTGTGTGGCGTGAGGATTTTAATTCGACTTAGCTATTGGATTTTGAAAGTGGGCTGGCCATTTTCAACCGGAAAGTCTAGGAAGACAGCTGCATAGTTTTGGCATGTTTTGGCACTTATTAACAAGCAGAGGCGCAATCCGGCTGTTTGCGCGAAACGTGCCATTTGCAAACTTTGACAACGGAGATCGCAGTGAAGCAGGGTGTGCGGAATGAGACGAAGTTGGCAAACACCAAATAGGCCACACTTGGAATGATCGTTTTCTATCGTTTTCTTATTTTTTCTGTCAAGATTTGAGCAAGAGTCAGATAGCACAGTCACCTAGACATGAGACCGGCCGGAACCTTTTACTCTCGAGACCCCATCTTTGAGGTTGAAATAGGTGCGCCCGTGCCGTTTCATGGTAGCGGAGCGCTGGCCGTACTGAGCCGCGCTTCCGCATACGACATGCACCACGAGCACTACGATCACCACGACATCCTCAACGAGGAATTTGGTTGGTGGAACTCATCGTGCTCGCTGGGCTAGCAGGCGGTGTCGGTACCACAGCGATCCAGGAGATCAACTACTTCCAGGCGAACCGTGTGATCCCCAAAGCTGGAAAGCTCAAGAGGAGGCAATTCCACACGGTCACCTTCGAGACTGCTGAGTACCTCACTAGAGTTCGGTGGGTGAAGAGCGACAAAGCAGCCAGAGCCTCAATTGTCTTCCAGAAGAGGAGAAACGGAAGGTTGAGCGCCGACTTGAAGGAGATTTTGGTGGTAGTTCCATCAAAGTGGAAGTTCATCTCAAAGATCGAGAACTTGAGGCAAGAGATACCCCAGGAAAAGATCTGTGAGCTTTTGTCGAATTGGTGTTTCTGGGAGTTGCTGGTCTATAGTGGACTGGAGTTCAGCCCGGAGGAGAGCATTGCTGCATTGAGCCCTCTTGCACCACCAAGTCGTACTATCCGAAGATCTGGACGATT